GACGCTAACTTACGAATCCCTTCAAATTACTTCTTGAAACGAAATGAAATGTATTCTACGAAACCAAATTTTTCTACGGCCTTAAATTTATGGATGCCGCATTCCAATTTATTCCAGGCAAAGCAGTACTAAGAACCCTATACAATGTAAGTTCAGTTTAAGAATACTTTAAAGGTCCACTTTATATGCTTTCAAAATAAGAAATAAGATCCTATCCTAAACTGTCTGGAAGGAATGATTGTGTAACACACTGTCGATAATAAGTCAACAGTATTTAATCCTAAGGCTGATAATAGGCACCATTAGTGCATTCAGCTTTAGTAGCTATATGTCATATGATATATACATGCAGTAGTAAAGATTGAAGTAAGATTTTTATTAGAGTCAAAATATACTCGCTAAAGATAAGCAAAAGTAATTTTTCATATTTCCTTGCCTTTGAGGTTTCGTTTAAAGTCTTCTACAGTCATAGGGATATTCTGCTTCTTTGAGTTCGGATTGTGCTGGTCTGTATTGAGCATAAGAATGGCATAAGCTAGGGTAAATGCAGCGTCCGAATTAGCAAACGGAGCACCGTTTGTCTGGAACCAGGCATCTGCAAAATGCTCCAAAAGATGTTGGATTAGTGGTGCCTCGCCCGGCAGTCGAAAGGCTTCGACGTATTGCCGTAGAGCTTCATCAATGCGGACTTCGACAAAGTTTAAATTACTGACAAATGCAAATGGAGTTACACATGAAGGATAAGATTGGTCAAAAAGAATATAATCATACGTCGCTTAATCGAAGTAAAATTTTATTTGGCAACTGTATTATCATATTCTTCTTCTTATCCTGCAGGATCCATATGATATCTCGCTGGTGCAATTATTTCACTCGACCCATGTTATAATATCTGTGCTACCTGAGGTGTTACTTCCCACACTCTGCCTCTGGGAAACTAGGTTGAGGCTAAAGAACTCGAGCAATTTCATGGTCAAGTCTCTGCTCCATGGACCACGTCCATGAGCAAGCACCTCTACTGTTAGGCAACCAGCAAACGCATTTACCGTGCTTCTATCCATAGTTCTAAGTCTATGACTTCGTACACCCTAGTCTCATGTGTGCCAACCGACAAATATTGTGGTTCTTCATTCTCCCTAAGCAAATTAAGTTTAACCACAACAATTGTAAGTTGGCACATATGATAGCAGGGCATAGGAAGTCATAAGCATGCTATTACGGATAGAAACAGGATAGAAGCGGCGGAGGCTAGAGCTAGTTGGCTGAGAGTTGACCTGTTTGATAATAGTCATGACCCATGAAGCAAAGGCTTGACCATGAAAATTACTTGAGTTCTTTAGCCACAATTTAGTCTCTTAGAGACAGAAAGTGGGAAATAACGCCTCGGGTAGCACAGATAGGGTGATATAGTTCGAGTGAAATACTTAAACCAAGGAGATGGCAGTCGGATCCTAGGAGGCAAGAGGGAGATTCTGATAAGACCTATGGAAGGAGGACTGCGTAAAAATATGGCAGACTTTGATCAACATTAACATCACAATGATAAAGGTGTGTCAAATATCCTGCGTGGGATTTGGAGAATTCTCATGAAATCCGCTCAAAAGGAAACATCAAACCACATTTAAATAAACAAGTAAAAAAATGTGATAGTAAAGGGGTGATACGAGGATATAGGATTGGTGATTAACCTATGGCGGAATGAGAGAGGATTACTTAGCAGATAGTTGGTCAAAGAATCGGCTTTACTTGTCTCTGATAAGTTGTAGTGTGGTGCTAGGAGTGAAAGTGCTCACCGACGATGCCGGTGAAACGTCTGTGAATGTACCACTTCCACTGTCCGACTCTGGAAAATATCATGCATACAATAGAGTCCAGACTTGGTGCATTCCTCTAAGTCTTCTACCAATAGTACCAAGTTGCGAAAAAGAAAGACTACAACCACAAAAAAAGGTCATACCATATTGGTCTTGATACCTTCAATAAATAAATTTCGTTTATGACAATTATCCTGGAAAGTTACCAAGCACGTATGTGTTTAGTTAGTATCAGGCTTGATAGAATAAATCAGCTCTGTATGCGTAAAATCTTTTTAGCAATAATTATATTAAACTAATACGCATACAGTTTTAAGCCTTCGTCAGAAATTAACTAAATGTGCAGTGATTTGCAGGCTCATCCATCACATTAATTAACTATTAATTTAATGCTAATAAAGTAAAAAAATAATAAAGATATACGAGTTTTATTTATTTTTATCTCATACGAATAGTCATACTTAGGGTAGGGCGCCATTTAAAAAATTTTATTAAAAAAGGGCGCTGCGACTAGGAAAAGTTTGGAAACCACTGGTAAAGAGCATTCGCGTCACGATAAAGGTGAAATTTTAAAATAGGAAAGTAAAAAGGACAGTAAATAGAGCAGGTTAGACAATGATGACAGTACACATAATCACCGACCCACCTTACAAAAGCAGTAAGGACTGCTGAGTTCTTCTTAGTGCTGAGATAGTCACCAATGGTTCGCTTATCTATGAGTGGATTATCACTCAGAAAACGTGCCATTTCATTCGGGTCTAGTGGATCAGTGAGCAAACCATTGCGTTGAAGGTATTTAATGCCATCGTTTGGCTTTATGTTGAAACGCTCAGATCCGGCTATCAAAAGCTATTAATAGAAAGAAAAAAGGAAAAACGTTAATATTCCGCCTCGAGCAACAACTATATTATTCTTTCAGCTAATGCAGTCTAAATCAATTATCTAAGAGGAAGATGTAAATCAAGGTAAAAAGTCAAGATTAGGAAGATTATTAAGCAAATAATTCTTGGAAGTATAGTCCATGTACATCAACATCTCAGAAGAAAAAACACTCACAGTACTACTGGAGATATTACAAGGAGAAAACGGAATTGTGGAGACGAAGCGAATCTATAACCCTAACAATAAGAAGCACCTATTTCACATCCATCAGTCGCATCTGAGCCAAAATTTGGTTTGCCTAAGTGCTTATCCCTTTTGCCTCTGCTGGCTAATGTCTGCATGAACAAGCTGGAGGAGATTTAGATTACTACTTCGCAATCTAATCATATAGAAAAGAAAATATATTGATATTGGTTTTCGATAAATCTCCTGAGATAAAATTGTTGGGAAGACTTTCATTTCGTATGAAAGTGCATAAGAAGAGGTACGAAGGTCGATTTTACAAGAAGGCGATGGCCGATTCCCGTCGTTTGGATTTAATGCGCCGTTCAGGTTGACTCAGTCCACGAGACATTCTCCCTCCTTTCAGGTAACAAGGGCTGAGCTCTCGTCCACTATATGATAAAAATCATCAAAGCAGGAAGTCATTCCTGTATACGTCTCACGTTAACAGTCCGAAAGCAAAGTCCATTTGCACTCGAAACGAGGGAGGATAACTCGGGGACTGTCAACCTTAACATGGTATTAAAGTCAAATGGCTGCAGTACAACGTGAATCAACCGGCATCTACCGGTAAAATCGACAGTCATAGCTCTTATTCATTCACTTTCATTAGAAATAGAAGCTTCCCCAACAAAGAAAAATTATACGATTTCCTGATATTATTAAGCGACATGGATGAAAAAAAATCAAGTTTACAATGGATACGCAAGAGAACAGACACTTAGCTTTCTTGAATGTGGGAGTAATTCGCGCAAAGAAGATTGTATATAAACGGCTGTCCATTACATGCAGGAAGAACCATTAACTTAAGTCTCATCATAGTAGTAGAATGAAGATCGGAATGGTCATTATGATTCACCGACTCTGGGTTTTGGTACGAGGAACTGAATAAGTTACTCAGATATATTTTGGAAACGAATATACATAGGAAGCAATATAACACAAGACAAGGATCGTGATGAGCAGATGGAAGGTAGGGTATTATGAATGGAAAGCAAGTGAATCAGAAAAAAAGATGGATATACCAACCCTCCTGCGAACTGGCTCGGAAGCCGCGTCCGCTACTATTTAAAAGGAATATTCGTGCAATCCTGAATTGACAACCCTCTTCACCAGATTGCCCACACATGAAAAAGCCACTATAATGAAGTACTCCATAAGTTACAGAATGAATTGCAAGGACTGTAAGCAAAATTAGATTAAAGAGACTGAAGAGACAATCAAAATAGCGAAAGGAGTTAAACTAGGAATCTGTCTGAAGTTAACGGTGTGGGTCCAACTGTGGATGTGGGATAGTAAATTAACGTCAGAAACATAAAGATTATCCGCCAATATAGGTGCTGGGCTTAAAAATAGGTCCTTATCAAACTCTGCACGGTGCGGATAACAACCTGGGGTGTACAATATCAGCTGGTCTCTAGTGTGTGTGTTTGTGTGTGTGTATGTATGTGCCTTAATGAGAGGCGACTGATGAAATATTAGACAGGGGCAAACCAACCAAAGTGCATATGAACAACTGACTAGAACCTTACGATTAAATTTGACTGTCAACTTAAGAGACCAGGGAAGTGTATTTTACGCGGTTCACGAATGGAAAATGAATGCGATTTATTGTTCTAGCGCTTCGAAACAATCTAGACACAGGGCCCAAAAGAATGAGATGCAGTTGGGTGGGATAAGAATGAGGATAACGGATGATCGGTCCGAAGCCTACAAAGAAGAAGGCACCAAGGCACGGAAATCCGAGGCTTTAAATCCTTGAATATTTCGCAAACATGAACGGGATACAACTTAGAAGCGAGGTGGAAGAGAGGGGGCTAAATAAAAATAAGAAGCCATGAACCAGAAGCTCTGCAAAAGACAGCTCACTCTCTCAAGCGACAATGGATGGAATGAGAGAACAGAATGGTGAAAAACAGCCAAATTGGCGATATAAAAGACAGGCTGAGACAAAGAAATGCAGCACGAGAAGGTAGGACAAAGACTAGCTGCAAGGAAGGATGACACAACGAATAAAGAGATAATTGCCTTCAATTGTCAATTTGTAAATTATATCTCTGTGCTAACGATGGTAACTGTCTATGACGATGGTGACTACGATACCGCATAAACATCTGAGAATGTACCAAGTCAATGGTCTGATGCTAGAAAGCGTGAAAATATAGCAGAGGACGAAATAATTCTTAATTTTAGGAGTAGTTTGACCTTTTTTTAGCGACTTGATCATATTGGTAGGAAGATTTAGAGGAATGCACTTAGTCTGGACCCCATTGTATGCATGATCATTTTCAGAGTCGGACGGTGGAGGTGGTACATTCCCAGAGGTTTCACCAAATCGTCGGTGAGCACTGTCACTCCTAGCACCACACTCCAACTTATCAAAAAGAGACAAGTGAAGCCGATTCTTTGACCAACTATCTGCTAAGTAATCCCCTTTCATTCCGCCCTGAGCTAATCACCAATCCT